AGTTACAAATGTTATCTTCCTGTTCTCTTTTGAAGTCTTGCAGCTGAAGCTAAAATAAGTAATCATTTACACATCAGTACTCTTCCTGTACCTGTGGTCAGTTCTAATAAGACAAAAGACAATTTACTAGAGACAAAAACCACTTTTAAGATGAAAAAAATCCCAAAAAAATTCTTTCAAGATTAAAGCCCTGATAAGAATAAGCATTCTGAAGTTTTTGGTTTCTGAAATGAAGTTTTACTCAAAACCTGTATTGTTAAAAAAACAAACAAAACAGAATGTTTTGTACTATATTACCCCAGATGGACACCTTTTTGCCAGGCATGCCACAAGTTAAGCTCTATACCCTCCCTGAGTGCCACGTCCAGTCCCCTCCCCCTGACCTATCTGTTCACTGGGTTCCCTGCTCCCTCTCTGATCTGCCACATGTCATACACAAAGGTTGCCCATGCCTCATGTGGCACCCTGTGCCAAGGGTTGCCTATACCTGCACTAATCAATGCTTTGAGAATTTGGTGAAATAAAATGGAAAAGATCATTATTTCATTCCGAAAGGCAATCGTGCATGATGTATTTGGCTCAACAACTCTTTTATACTCCTTTTAGCATCCAGACAGACTGTACTATGCTATTCTGATTAGACAGATCAGACACTGAAGATTAGAGTCAAGTAAAACTTTTTACAATGCATCATCACTGGTCTAAGGACTTCATAGTCACTTGTTATACTAGGCTTGATCTTAAGACGATTGAAATCAACAGGAGTTTTTTCACTGACTTTGGTTGGCTTTAAAGCATCTCGCATGCAATAACAGAATAGGTCAGAAATACTTATTAGAAGAGTAGAACATGACTTGGCTCCTGATTCAGTGCTAAATTTTGTTATTCTGTTGCTTACATTTCTTTTTGTCCTTTGCTAAGGATAAACTCCAATGCCTGGCACAAAGTCATAATGGCTAGTACAATAAACAATTCATATTCAAAAGTGACCACATGTGCATTTTTATGATAGCTAAATTGTCTAGGTTTTCAAACTGTAAAATGAGGATAATATTGTACTAATACAAGTTTCAAAACACTCAAAGACAACGCAACAGTTTTTAATGAAATGTTTATTGGTGTCACTATTGCCTTCTTATGCCTCAACAGCTACTGATGCATAATTCTTTCAGGATTGTTTTCCATAGCATGTTAGTATCCTGTGTCCATGATGAAGTAATGCGTAGGGCTAAATCCACAAAGGGACTTTGGTATTGTAGTACGTAGCATCGCAACAGCTAACTTTTGGACACCTACCTGCAGTGGAGTTCACAGCTTTGAGTTAAGTACCGCAGATTCTTATATAATGCATGGGGAAAGTTAGGTATCTGAAAGGGATTTACTGGGTGTGTCTACACATGCATTAATGCGCCTATTTCTGACTGAGAGCTGCAGTTGCTTTTATATTTTTTGTAAGGTACAATCCTACAGATATGCTTTAGATATGACATAAGTATACTTACTATATTGGGTCCCTCCATGGTGTGCAAGTGCAGAGACACATAGTTTGTGCAGAATGACAGGACATAAGTCAAAACCAATAACTCTTGGGCATGGGCAGGCACCCAGAGAATTTTGCTATCAAAATCTTAAGCACCCATGGAGTTATGCAACAGCAGAGTAGAGATTTTGAGGATTGCAATTTTGAACTTTACGTCCACCTTTTTCCAGTGTTGGATGTCTTGAACATACATTTTGTTGCTGTAAGAAAGACTAAACGGTTTTGTTGTGAACACAGAAGGGGTGTGGATGCATTAGTGACTAATCTGGTTTCACTGTGGTAGACTAAAATAATTATAAAACAACAGGCTAAATGCACAGCTTGTGTATAGTGGAATAGCTCTGGACCTACCTCACCAGCTACAGCTCTGGTCATTTTGAGCATCTATACACATGCCCAGTGCCTTCTCCAATGCATGCTAACTAGTTTGAAATGAGCAGACTCTATTAATCTGCTGAAGCATGCCATTAGCATGCCCCAGCAGCCTTGACATCACATGTATTGAGCATCCCCGTGCTTCAAAATGGCAGTGGGGGTGCTTTAACTAAAGCTCATTGAGCTATCTTTAAAGAACTCCCACTGCTATTGTGAACCGTGGGACTCTGTATACACAAGATGCTGAGGGTGCTGTAATTAGACCAGCTTTCGGGAGCTGCTCTAATTAAAGTGCACCCTAACCACCACCCTGGAGTACATGTAAAGAGCCCATTTAGCCTTTCCTGGTGATTTACTGAGAGAAATTCCTATACTTCTGTAGCCTCTGAGGCAATGATACATCATCAAATGAGTCTGTGCATCAGAATGTCAGCCTCAGAATTTTACCTGAACAAAAAACAAGTAGAAAACAATTACTGATTTTGAATGTGTTTTAATTTTGTCCCATATTTTATCTGCTGCAGTAATATGCAATAACCTGCCTTTTGGGAAATGGGTCTTTCTAATATAAGAGTTGCCATTTGATTTATAACTTTAAATATGCTTGTTGTTATCCTACATATATTTTGAGGAGCTGTGTACCTCATGCGGCACATATGCATCTGTTTGCTATGCTGCTAAAAAAAATTTGACACCGGCAGATCCTGGTTTAAAACAACAACAACAACCACCAAAAAAAAACCCAACACAAGAAAAAGTGGTGCAGCACACATGGCAGCAGCATGTGCCACCAGAAATGGAGCCTGGCCATCCAGACCCATGCTCTGGCTGCCGGCCAGGCTCTGTGCAGCTGGATCAGTGCCACTGCTGCCCCAGGAGGCCCCCAGATAAGGCTGCTAGGGCCAGCACACCACCCGACCTGGGACAATTTGGTGCATGCCAGAAAACGCATGCAGGGGCATACCCTAGGGGCACAAAGCACAAATATGTGCTGCTGCTATTTGGGCTGCAGGAAACATACGACCCTGCAGGTGCACGCTCATCTGGATGAGCCCTTTTAGTTTAGATAATGCACCTATGAGTAATATTCATGTTATTCATATTATGCCCAGTCTTGTTTTAGTTCTACTAAGCTATTGGCCTCAGTAGTATTTTATCCTAATGAAGTTAAATTAATTGTGTGTTGTAAAGTATTAACTTTTATTAGCTTTTAATTTTGTTTTTAATTGAACAATTATTCCTTCTGTTATGAATTATGAAAGTGAAATTCACTTTTGCACCACCGTTTATTATTTTTATGTCTCTACCATGCCCCTTCTTATTCTTAACTTTCTATACTAAACATTCCTTTTAAGCCTCTCATATGAAAATAATTCTGCGATTGATCATTTTTATTACTCATCTCTGGATGATTTCTCTTTTTCTTTTTTACTATACCTTATTTGAGAGAGACTGAATAAATCTGAGACTGTATTGTCAATTTGCTGAAGGGCTTTATGTTACTTGCCATATCATTCCCCATCCCTTTTTTGATATTTTTGTTTTCTTTTTTTGACTACTGTTATACATTCAGCAACGTTTTCATTAAGCTTCCATAAATCTTTTCCCCAAGCAGTTATGATTAGAATTGTGTAGCACTTCACATTTTCCTTTCTACTGCGTATTAACCTTCATTTATCCACAATGAATTTCATCTGACATTGTGCTGGCAATTAACTACTTTTCTTAGGTCCCTCTGAAGTTACTCACAATCCTTTATAAAAGAAAGAAACCGGAATAATTTTGTGTTATTCAGAAATAATGTAATCTCAATCTCCATACATTTTTCCAAGGAATTAATAAATATAAATTAATAGAAGTTTCAGTTAATATAAGCTTAGATGCTATTCATTTTTCCCATACTGAAACTAAGCACAAAAGTTATTGTCACAGCATCAAAAAGTTTGCAGATATTAATAAGCAAGGCAATCAGAATAATAAGATAATATATAAGCAAAATATTTGAAGCAGATATCTTGTTAGATAATGTAAAGAGAAGTATAATTTCTGCTTTCATAGTATTTTGACCAGTTATTTAAACAAATACATTTTCTCATTAGTGGGAAAGTCATGGGTACCTGTAAGTATGCTTCATTTTCAAATTCAAACCATTATGGTAAGGGAAACTAAGATGCCTTCCAAAACCAGTACATGTTTTTCATTACTTTAGAGATATATATAACCACTGAGCCGTTGAATCAACAGCATAATAGCAGAAAATCCCCTGCTCTTCATAGATAGAGAAATATAGGTTTTGGGTCAGGAAGTAGCCAAAAATAAACTACATGGTGAAAAAAAAAAGAGGAGGGGATATATTCATTTCTCAAATATTATTAACATTTATTTTTGTGGAATGCATTGAAACATTGTATACATATGTGTTTTATCATCAGTATTTCATGTTGTTAAATTTGAGTATAGATCTTTAACTGATACAAATTAGCAGGATCCCCTGAAACCAGTGGAGCTACAGTGATTTATAAGTTGAGGATCTGATACATTTTCTTTATTTATTTTCTGTTCAAAAGTTACCAGATTTTTCATTAACAATAAAGATAAGAAGTGCAGGAAAGTTATACAGAAGAAAGATCATATGCAGTATGATTCTGTCATGCATAATATTCCAATGATCTAAGAAATAATGAAAAGGAAAACACCTGATAAGACCATCCTCTGGACAGGAGAAAGAAATAGGGATGACAGTCCAGCCCCTTGGAAGTCATTGCGAGTGACTTGAAAGCAAAGGGGTAGGATTTGTCCTCTCAGGGAATTTGGTGCATGACTCCAGGCACCCTATCCATTCAGATTTCACAGCAATTTTTCCTTTCCAGATGCTTAAACTTGGGTCAAGCCCTTTATCAACTAAAATGGAGTGGTAGAAGATCTTTGTATCCAACAGCCCAGCAATAAAACAACTCACCTGGGATGTGCAAGTCTGTGGTTTAAATTTCTTTATCTTTGCCTGGTTTGTTACAGAGATTTGAACTCAGATGACCAACTTCCCAGGAAAGTGCCTTAAACACTGGACAAGAGTATGCTGAGGCAGGTTGTTCTCAGTTTCTTCTGCTGACACTGCTCAACTTCACAGAAAATCCTTAAATAGTCATTAAAATTGAGACTGAAACCCAAATTTCCCAGGTAAGTGCTCTAATCACTAGGCTATAGGCTGTTTTCATTGCCCTCTTCCCGTTTCTATTCTCTATTAATTAGAATAAAGAAAACTTAAAGATGAAAAAGCTGGCATGTTACCCAAGCCTCCCCCACCCCCAATTTCCAACTAATATTTGAAGGATGTGACATACATAATTGATTAATCAAAGTTGTTTATCAGATATAGTATTTGTTCAGAAAGGTAATTACTAAAAAGGATCGTAAAATCAAAGAAAAATTGTAAATACTTAAAATATAAAGCGTTTTATACATTATATGCTTAAATAATGCACTTGTACCAACATTTCTTTCAGTTAAATTATTGTGTCTGTCTGTTGTGTGTAGGCTTCAAGCTTAGACAGTTGCTTTTATTGTCTTTTGTGAGCTATACAAATAGCTTTATCCTGAGCATGCCATCTATTGCAGAAAATAAGCTTGCTTAACAGTTATTTTATAACATAGGTAAGCCTCCTAAACATCACATTGGTTGGGTGCTTTAATATTATAATTCCTGTTTTACAGACACATAAATTAAGGGACCAAGATGTAAAGTAATTCTGTTACATTGACAGAGCTAGGTAAGACCAAGGGTTTCCAATTATGCTCTAATACAAAGCACATTATGTTCCTGTTAAATTTACTGTGAAGAGCAGCAAGCTCTTTGAAAATCAAATAAAGCAACAAGAAAGGATAAATGAATGGCTTCCACAAATGCATTAATTCTAATGTAACTGAAATGGTAATGAGTTCATAAAATTCAGATAAAATTAATGTTGCTTATGGCAGAAAACTTGAAAAAGAACTTAATAAACCTTTTCACTTATACCATCATTAAAATATATGAAACATCTCATTATCAAGTGTTAACTGTAATCTCTCTTGTTAAATTTAGAGAAGTTAATGCAGTGTCATTTCCTGCAATATCTTGGCCATGGGATTCATAGATTCATAGATGCTAGTGTCGGAAGGGACCTCAACAGATCATCGAGTCCAACCCCCTGCAGGGATATCCTGCAATGAGAAAATGTAGCATCAAGGAAAGGAGACAGATTTCAACTGAACTGAAAATTATTAATGCCTCCATAGTCTACACATTCCCCACCCTGAAGTATTTGTTATTAACCTTTGGCCCACACTCCCATCCCTGTTTTCTAACGTACTGTCCCACAAAAACAGTTGCTGTGTCCCTAGTAGCCTCCATAATTAAAGGAGTCTTAAAGTTTTCCTGGTGGACATAGGTCTACCCAACTGTGGCACAACGAATAGGCCATAGTCTACTCCCATTAGCCATTAGATAAGTGTCATTTAGGATTGTACGAGCAGCAACTCTAAAATTTTCAGTTGATCTCTGTCACTAGCTCTCTCTGTGGTTTTGTAAACTCTTGGTGCCTCCGTTTCTAATAAAAATGAGTACAATACATAATAATAACTCTCAGGAACACAATGGACTAATTAGAAATCAATCATAAAGGACTGTGAAGGTGAAAACGCATTGCAGAAATGTAGACCACGAATACAGATTTAATATTTTGTACATGGAGCTCACATAACCCTGGAAATAGGTGCAACATAGGTTAAGTGGATAAAATGGATGTATATTTTAGATTAGAGATTAAGCATTGTTACTGCATGTTCACAAGGCAATTCCATGTCTCCAATTTTTATACTAGTGCTAATTGAGAAAAACGGAGAAATACTATAGGTTGGATTCTCAGACCAAGATGCATTTAAATTGGTAAAAGGGTAGAATATAAATAATGTAAATCATGTAACTTTAATACAATGTAAATTACATCAATCATCTTTTAAAAGCCTGCTCCAGAACACTATAAACTCTTCACACTAGTGCCAAATTCATTTATATGTTGCTGCAGGAAAGGTAACGCGATTACTTGACCACATTGTGTTTCATCTGTTTCTGAAGATACCTGTCACTGTGATGTGGGTTTGTTGCTTTGGTTTTGTGTGTTTGCTTGATGGACCAAACTGCGTTGTAAGGAGGGCTGGGGGCTAAAATCAGACAGCCTGGCTCCAACCCCCATCCTGAGCTGGGCAAATCCGTCACAACTGCTATGAAATGGGTCTCCAGCAGCCCCAGTACCCGGCTCCCTTCCCAGTCCTCTGGGTGGCTCTTTATTAGCCTCTGGAGATGTCAAGCTGCGGGGCTCGCCCATGTTGGGGCTGCGCTGGGTGACCCCTGCGGGTCCCTGCCAGCCCTCTAGGGTGCCGCCGCCGCCCTGAGTCGCGGGCTCCTGTTGGGATACAGGCACCAAAAGGTCAAGGCAACAAACAGCAAGCGAGACCCCTTGCTCAAGGTCAAGGGTCAGCGAGGGGCGACTTCCTGGGGCTCGGCCCGTTCGGGGCAGGGAGATCAGGCAGTGCCCCCAAGCTCTTCAGCCAGAGAGCGCAGGGCGCACGCACTGCATCGACCTGGGGGGAACAGAACGCTCGTTGCCCATGGAAACCACCACGGCGAAAGGGAGGGCTCTCGGTACTTCCGGTCACGCGGGCAAGAATCCTCCAATGAGGACCGAGGCCAGGAGCTCGCGAGGCTTCGTTCTCTATGGCAACAGTCCGCTGGTGACCAACTGCCACCTAGCCTCCTCCCTCCCCGCCCGGGAGCCGTTAGGGTCGCTATGGTGAGTAGCGCAGGGGGGGTCCGCAGGACAGTGGCCCGGGGCGGGGGCCGCGGCTGCTCATCTGCCCGGTAGCGCCGCGTGGGGACCAGGCTCCCGCTCCCCCAGCTGCGCCCGCCCCCTGCTCGGGACGGAGCTGCGACCGCTCGTGCTCGCTCCTGGCGTCTGCGCGGGCCTCAGCGCCGCGTCCGCTCCGCAGTGCGCCCCGGGGTGTGGGCTGGGCCCCGGCCCCGCCTAGGGGGTGGACTCGTCGAGCGTGAGAGTGGGCAGGGAGCTCGTAGGGGCTCGTCCGCCCCCTCCTCCAAGCAGGACCAGCCCCCGCTAGATCCTCCCGGCCGCGGCTTTGTCTCGCCGGGTTTTCAAAGCCTCCAGGGATGGAGATGCCACCACCTCTCTGGCTAACCTGTTCCAGTGCTTCATCACCCTCGTGAGAAAATTCCTCCTAATATGCCACCTAAACGCCCCTTGCTGCAACTGGAGACCGTTGCTCCTTGTTCTGTCATCTGCCACCACTGAGAACAGTCCAGCTCCATCCTTTTTCAAACCCCACTTCAGGTAGTTGACAGCTGCAATTTAATCCCCACTCAGTCTCCTCTGTTCCAAACTAAATAAGCCCCGTTCCCTCAGCCTCTCAGAAGAGAGGAGCTCAGCTCAGGTTGCCACTTCTGCTTGAATCTATTGCAGGTTTCATCATCTGACATACTGACACTAATCAGTCATTACATCAGGAAGGCAAATGCACAGTACTATTACATTTTAAAAACCCACTGGGTGATGTGCACCCTCTGGGAGCGCCGGCTGGGAAGTGGGGGCGCCAGGTGAAGTGCTGCTGGCACCTCCGGTCAGTGAGATTGGCCGAGGGGGGACCTCATTCCCCTGGTCACTGACTGGTCGTTGCAGGAACACGTGCCGCCCCCCCCCACTCAGGTGGTATCAGTCACCCATGCACTGAACTGCTATATAAATCAGATTCAACATTTAATATTTTAATGAATGTCCCATCCTCTCTTTCCCAGTTGACTCTCACCAGTCTCCTGGAGATTTCTGTCTAATTCTTGGAGACTCCAGGGTAATCCTGGAGGGTTCCCAGCCCCAGCCACGGGCGACTGGTGCCTCCTGAGCCTGGGGGGGCACCCGCAGAGGCCAGCGGCAGCACCGGAGCTGGCGAGCACCCACAGAAGCTGCGTCCTACTCCGTGTGGACAGTCTTTCCACCCTCCTGAATTCTGCTGCCCAGGGGGTGGTGCTGGCACCAAGCCAGCTCTCCCTTCTGGCCCCAAGGGGTGCAACCCTCCTGCCCCTAGGGAGTACAACCATGTGCAAATAGCCAGCAGTGCAAGTAGCCAGCTGTTACCTACCCTTGCCAGCCCTGTAGTGGCAAGTCAGTTGTACAGGTCAGAGATGGCATTAAGCTTTAACGTGTGACTGCTCAAAGCTCATTCCAGCATTATCACCACGTAATATTCCACAGCGCTTTGTGTAGCCTGTAGGTAATGTGTAACAACACCCTCACATTTTTTCAGATCTAATTGTTCTGAGGTTTGTTTCTTCTGCAGCAGTTAGCTAGAGTTAGTGTGTTCCAGTCACTAACTAGCCTGAAAGATTACAAAGAACAATTTTTCCAACTATTTAGTTGGTTTAATAAAAGATATCGCATCTACCCAAAGAACCTTGTCTGCCTGTGTTCCAGCTGCTGCACTTGAGGTAGTTGGAGGAAAAACACTTATTCTACAGAATGATTGGATTAGCAGGTCAGAGTGATTGGATTAATATTTGATGATTTGTTGTCCTCCTAGCCGGTACATGGCTATTGCATTACTAACTCAAACAGTAGCAATTCAGGTATCTTTTTCCCTCCCTTCACCTTCACCCAGTCAAGTGATGATAAGAACATCATGGGCCGTATAAAGTCTTCAAGCACACCTGGTTGCATAGTAGAGTGCTGAATGGTGTTCCACTGCATTTTTACTGTTGCTGTTCCCTGTGCTATAAAAACCCTATCGCTGTAGTGGAGACATGGCTGAAGAGGCGAGCCAATTTTTTTGTGCATGTGGAGAGAAGTAAAGCTGGGGTGGGGGGAGAGAGAAATCACTGCATTTTTATTAGCTATGATTTGAAGACAAGCCTTAAAACTCTTACTTATAAACTTGTGGGAAAATATTTATTGAAAATAATTTTAACTTGATAGTGTTTAAAACTCAGTGTAGGAACCTGCTGGAGAGCAAGTCTCTATATTCCATTATGTTTATCTCAATATATATTAAGCTATATTTTGTTGTCTTGCCTGCAGGCAGAGCTAGGACTGAATGAGCACCACCAGAATGAAGTGATCAACTACATGCGCTTTGCTCGTTCAAAGCGTGGTCTGCGACTCAAGACTGTAGATTCTTGCTTTCAGGAC